ATACGTTCGGTCTATCAGCTTGAAAGGCAGTCGCAATGTATGACGTCCGGTCTAGACTGCTGAAAACGACTTGGAGGTCGATATCGGAAACAAGCCTACATACAACTTGGCTATCGTGAACATCTACTTGTATACGAAATCGTTCTCCGACCGAGTAAACATATACATCCACGGGACAAAGGTCTTCGAGTAAATGTTTCGCGCGAAATGGTAAGCGACCCGGCGTCGATAAGCGTCCAGCAACCTTCCAAACACATATAATTAAAGACTCAATTTTGAGCAATGATACACCGTACATCTAGTCAAAGAGAAGTTTATATATGCCGTCCGTGACGCCCAAAAGCCCGTCATAGTCTTGGCCACGCACCGAATACACAAGGTTACGCAAACACCTCCAAGATGACTGTAACGTTTAATGGTGGAGCTTGGTAGTTCTTGGGCAAAATAAAAAGTGACATTGTTAATTAAAGTCTGGAGGATATCTACACTCCATCAGCCTGTATTAGTCCCAATGATCCGTCCTGTAAACTGTACTTTCCATCAACTGCACACATAATTTGGTACCACACTCTAATCCGATAGTAAGCGTACCGTAACCATGGGTAAGGATGCGTCACAATGACACCATAATGCCGTATGAAAACACTTTTGTTCCATTCTACTCCTCTGTCTCGTACTCGTCGTCTTCAAAAACAATCCGGCCATGCTTAAAGCAGCTACTTGGGGCGGCAAAGTTGGTTGCGTCTGAGTCGGCATCAAACGTAAAACCAAAAAACGCGTCGGTAGTCACGCACATCTTCCCCATTGCCCACTAAACACAAGCAAAAAGTGATTACCTGCAGCCTTCTTCTTCAGGTATGCCTTCCTGTTGTTGAGCTGCTTCTCGATGGAAACAGAAGGGTTAGATTGAGATGACAATCGTCTAGACAGAAGCTTACGGCACTTCTGCCCCCCACCCCACCCCCTCCCTCAGCTCTTCCAGTCAGGAAGTCAGGAAGTCAGGAAGTCAGGAAGTCAGGAAGTCAGGAAGTCATCTGAAACCCGCTTTAACCGCAGAGGAATACCAATTTTGGTTTCGACGGACAACTCTTCCGCATGGTCGCTTGATTCCTCCAAGATAACCACTTCTTTGGTGTCGTCTTCTACGGTAAAGTCAACGCGAAATAGTTAGTCATACCCTGCGTGTGTTGAACAACGGTAAACCTTTTGACCCCAGCCTTTCTTGCCGTAGTGGTACAAGAGCTTGACCTTCAGTGAAATGCAGGGCTTGATCGAACAGTCAGATACTCCATCCCCGTCGTCCCAGCCATGCCGAATAAAACTTCTGATACGGCAGGGAAGACGCTGTCGATACTGTAAACGCGACGTTTATGCGGCTTTGGCTGCTGTTCTGTTTCTTCGTCAGTGATGTGCGAACTAGAATCAGTACGACATCCATCAGATTCCACGGCGCTTGCTTCAAACAGTTGATTAAAGTTGTCTTTACTCCATGTCCTCAGTATTGTGTGGTAGAAAAAAGGAATCGGAATGGTCTTGGATGAAGAAATTTGGACAAGTCCCCCACGTTAGTAAGTAGTTTCTATGCCATCCATTTGCGACCCCATCGCACGATGTACAACCAGCTTTAGTAGTAAACAGTGTCACTGCCATCCACACCATCCATTTGCGAACTAGATCAAGATGTCAGCAATTTGAAACTGCAGTGACGTTGTATGAGGCTAACAACGATTTTTTTTTTTGTATCATTTTAAAATGTCTCGTTGAAATAACAGATCAAGTAAGTTATATGTGTAGGGGTTTCATGTGAGCGAGCTGCAGAAGAAAAACGGACAGAAGAGATTCGGCAGAGAACCTGAACTCAACGCCATGGAAGTTTGCCTACTTAGACCGTACTCAGAAGTTAGCAAAGCTACTTAACAGTAAGTAGCA